CATTCAATTATTGACACCAAGCTAAGAAAACAGGCAGGTTCTTAAGACATCTGACTCTGGGATTTAACCCTGAACTTGAGTCTCCTACTTGGGCAGGAGCCTTTACTCTTGCCTTATCTAAGAAGGGAACAGCAGGTCTGGCCTCATACAGCTGAGCCATATTTGGACCTTGTAAAACCCCAACATAAATGGCAAGAGGCAACACCAACTACTATATACAAGGGCACAGTCATTCTGAGAAGTACACTGTGGATACGCAGAGACCTAACCGATCTTCAGAGATAAAAGTATGAATAATTTTTCTTCCATTCATTTCTCATTCTCTGTCTGTGCACCTCCTCCGGAGTGACTAGAGGGGGTGCCTAAATGAGCGAATGCCCCACCCACACCTGGAGGTTTTTACTGTGCATGCACACTGACCTGCACAGCAAAGGCTACTGGACTAGTTTGCTAAGGTTTTTTGTTTTGTTTTGTTTTGGTTTTATTTTTGTTTCTAGTTTTATTTATTTATTTATTTTTGGTCCTTTTGGTCCTACTTTTATCCTGGGGATGGGAGTTTTCTCTCTACATTACCCAAGAAGAGACAGCAATTGTGGGCATATAACCAAGCTACAGGCATACCCTATAATATCCCACCATCCAGACAGGAGCCAATACGAGCTGCTATACATTACACAGATAGCCAACACTTCCTAAGAGTACTCACAGTTGAGTAATAAGAGACATGAAAAGGAAAGCCTATCTCTGGATCGCATCCATGAGGAGGCACACAGTAAGCTTAATAATACTGCAACATACATTCATTGAATCATTGAAAACATATCTAACCATTGAAAAATGTCCAAAAAACAACAAAAGATCTATGCATGTTTCCAGAAACAGAAAAGAGTGAGACAAATGAGCTGAAGGTAGGCATAGACTTCCCATTAGAAGGAGAGCAGGCTTTGGAACTGCTTGAGAAGAAATTCAGGAGAATGATACTGAGGAACATCCAAGTGCTCCACAGAGGGGTGGAAGAAAACAAGGAAGAAGTCAGGAAAGTGCTACAGGAGCAATCAAATGAAATATATAATAGCATTGGAACAATTCAGAACCTGCAAAAAGAGGTCCAAATGATTGATAATAAAATATCAGAAATGGACAATACACTGAAAAGGCAAAGGTGTGGAATTGAAAAGATGGAAGCCAGAACCAGTCATCTGGAAGACAAATCTCTCAATACTGC